ATTGTGTATTTCTTCTCATCCATAGCACTTGTAATGTCCTCCATCAGGTCGGTAATGGCCAAAGATGTCGATCGGTTCGACCTAAAACCGTATTGGCAATCAGAGAGGATTTTATGTTTGTCAATAAATGTGTCTAATCTGTTATTAAAGAGTTTTTCCAAGATTTTTGAAAACTGTGACAACAGAGAAACCGGTCTATAATTTGTGAAGTTGTGCTTATCACCAGATTTATACAGTGGAATCACCTTTGCTATTTTCATATTATTGGGGAACTGCCCAAGTCGAAACGACATGTTAAAAATATGGGTTAATGGTTTGCATATCCCCTCAATTGCCCATTTAACAGTTGTCATAGTGATACCATCACTATCACTAGATGTTTTGTTACCACATTTATTCACTATCTCTATCATTTCCTTTTCAACTATGGGCTTCAAGAACATAGAACTCATGTTCCTTTCAATTGCATTATTATTTATAGTGACGGATTTATCATCTGTACAAATGCTTCTTGCTAAACCAGGACCAACATTCACAAAGAACCTATTAAACTTATCTACTACATCCTCCAATCTATTGACCGGTGTATCATTATCCATAAAATATTGAGGGTAGTTACTCTTGCTGGAACTGTTTCTAATCAATTTATTTAATATATTCCAAGTACCTCTCATGTTATTTTTATTATCCTCTAATACTTTAGAGTAATATAGTTTCTTACATCTCCTCAAAATCTCAATTAATTTGTTCTTATATGACTTATATTTTTCTTCCGCCTTCTTTGATCTGTCCTTTATGAATTCCTTATATAACGCATTCTTCTTTTTACATGCATTCTGTAATCCCTTACTCATCCACGGTTTCCCACTGTAATTCCTCTTGTTTTTATACTGCTTGCTGTTTGGAATATAATTCTTAATCATATTCAGTCTGAGTTTGGTGGCTTAAATTTCTTTCTTGTATGCAGTTATAATATTGATAAGATCCCAGTGAAACTCTCTTCTTTTCACCATCAGGCCTTTTTATCATGGTCGCTCATCTACAAGCATAACTTTTCACCACACACATATTACATTATGGAACAATGGGGACATTTTGTACAAACACAGGTCCATTTTTATTGAATACTGGTTTCAAAATAATATTCTTCTGGTCGATCAGCTGTTTAATGATGATGGCCTGTTGTTTACTTATGAGGAATTCTTACAATGATATAAGATTCCTATAACACCTAGAGATTATACAAAAGTATTTGGTGCAATCTCTTCTGGTATATGCATGTTGTTTAAATATCAGCCAAGGATTGATAACCAATTTGTTCCTACACTTACTCCAGTTCATTCCTCTGACTTTTGTGATTTTATACATATAAATATTGATAAGGATTTTATTTTGTACTGGAAGAATGTTCTGTTTGGTTGCTTAGAAACACGATTCTCATCTCATGTATATGTCTGTAACTTGTTAATTTCATTGGCTAAGTTTCATATTCACAAATGTAAATTCACAAATAGAAAACCTCTTCTCTTGGTCTTTTTAAAAGAGTTCAAACAATACATTTCTTCAATATTTTTTCTGATAATACAAAGGCCATCAAAACAATTAATTTATGCACCTTATTTAAAATTCCTGGTTAGATAATACCCC